TTCATCTCGCGCGGCGCACATTCAACGCATGAATATATGCTTTGTTGTAGTTTGTGATCATGATTTGTTTGCGTTTTTTTTTCTCTCTTTCCATAAAATCATGTAGTTACCTATTATCGAGGCAGTCATTGCCTGTCACTCATCGTCGTCTTTTTTGTTGTTGCATGCTCTCAATCAGCGATATCATTTTATTTAATACAACTTTGGAATTGTATTCTGCCATAAAATCGCGTCAGTGTTATTCAGCTCATTTAATAAGTAGCTGTATTCTACAACATGAACGTGCATGATTAATTGAATGATGAAGAAAAATAGCTTCGAATAGAAAGAATACAAAAAGCTGCGTGTAGTGAGTCTTGCTTATTCCGCTTGCATTGCGGTTGTCTTTCGCACTATGTACAGCTGCTGTGTCAATTGAACACTTTGCTTGCCATTATAATCGATTTCCGTCATCAATGCGGCCGATCGTGCTAATAGTTTCGATCAATGCGATTCGGTATGGAAGTGCTTTTAATTATAAACTGCAGCCATTTCATTAAAATAATAATGACATAAAACACAACGGCTTGATTGACAACGTCGCCGTCAGTGCAATGCGATGCAACTGCCTACCGAAACTGTTAAACGGTCGCTCTTCCGCAATATCATATTATGGCACGGAAATCAAAAGCGATATGTGCGTATGATTTTTCATTTTAATTAAACGTGACAATTCTAACAGAAAATTGACGGTTTTTTTTCAATTTCGCGGCACAGCACATACGATTCTGCGGTAGCTGCGTATGACCTTGTTGCAATTGCACAATTTTCCATAAATTTTGTGTGTCAGAGTGCGTCGATCTCATCAACAAATGTGGTTGATGACCGTACAACAATTTAAAAATGCGCGTTTTTTTTGCGTTCGCTACTTAAATGGCCGTTTTTTCCAATGTTTATTTTCTTTTGTCATTTTCAACTAATTGCAAGTGCATTCAAATCACGACGACATTGTTAACTGTTGCTTTTATCTACATTTTATGACTAACAAATAGGCCTCGTCGTTTGTACGCGTTTTTACACAAAATAGAAATACAAACGATAATTTTTTTCGCCGTTATAAATTAAATGTACGACGAACGTGCGGTTTTTTTCTTTCTCTCTCGCTCTTTCTTTCTTTTTCATCTAAAAAACACAATGCAAACCATGTGTATGCGTTTTTTTGCCATCGTAAAATTGCATAACGATAATAATTGCTTTTTTTCGTAAAAAAATAAATAAATAAATAAATTCAAAGTCGTCGACCAGTGCATGGCACGTTTCATTGTTATTGTTTTGTACCTTGTGCTTTTTTTCTTATTCATGCCTTCTCTCACTTTATATTTATTAGTACAAATTACAATGAATAAACGGAGAGGAAAATTGAGTGGAACGCTAGTCAATGTGGGAAAAATTCACATTACAAATATATATGTTTCTTCTCTTTTTTGTTCTCTCTTTTTGATGGTGTGGTGTAATAGCGGTGGCAGTAGAAAAATTAGCAATGGAATGTTGAGATTTTTTCGTTGTTTGCAGTCAATTCATGTCATCGTTATTCCACTTTTATTTTCTATTATGCAGGCAACAACTGTGTGTCATACGACGAAAGAAAAACATTGTCATCGATTCAGATAATAATGTTTTCGGTGCGGAGAAAATCATGCCCGATAACTAAATAAAAATGCATAAACCATCACGAAAGTAGTTGGTCAAACTACTTTTGCATCGTACGATCTTTTTAAATAGTCTTCTTAAAAAAATATGATGTTAAAATTAAAATTTTATGATGCATTTTATGCATATTTATGATTTTTCAACTGCTGCTGAATATGCGTTATTGCTTTTCCGAATTTTATGGCCAAAAACATTGAAGTATGCGATATGTGTGTGTGTGGTTCTCATGTGGTCGAATATGAATATGTAACCTGTAAACATCAAATTATAGTAAATAATAGCAATAAAATTGCTGCTGGCTAAGTGCAGCATTCATAATCGTGTGTGTCTCTATACAATGCAAGGCGCACACGTTTGCAATTGCCACATTTATTTTCAATTGATGTTAATATTATCTGATTGAAATGAAAACAAGTGCCTCTTCAAAACTGCTTCAAACACTATTTCAGATGATATACACTCAATAAAATACAAAACCATATTTATTTTTTCAACATCGTAAAAGGTCAAAATTTTGGGCGTTACACATCGCAGGCAATCATCATTATTTCATTCTCCATTGCATTGATTGTATCTCTTTGTATCTGAATTCAAATTAAACAAAAAATATGATATACTCCAATCGTGCCAATAAAATTAAATTTCATTGAATTGGGTGGATGAATTCGACGCAGTAGAAACCAAAATCCAGATACAATGTATTGTGCAAGAGCCGCACATCGAATTCACAAAACAAAATGAATAATCAATTAAATATCTGTGTGTACACAATGTGAGCGTCGAAATAAGAGTGTGCATTGCGTATTCTGGATGATTCATGTGAATCTCGTTTTTACGTTTTCAGCACCAAAAACTATATTTGTTTGAACGCACATTTGTTTTTATATAAAAATGTGCATTGACGAATCTCAAAATGAGTGGGAAATAAAATCGATGTGCTCATTTGAGAATAATCAATCGATTTACGAACGAAAACCGCAAATCGATTACCACAAAAATGCAGAATTTTTGGAATAAACTTGTCATGTTTATAGGCAAATTTAATGCGTAAAAAAGGCTGAACCGTCGTTTGCCCGGCGGCTTCCCAACGAAAATTAGTAATTGTCATTGTTGTTGTTGTTGTTCAATTGACTGGGTTAAATGCTTGTCGATTTGCTCAATTGCTCAGTCCAGTCACATATAAAACAAACAGAAAAATAAACTCACTCTTCATTTCATTTGAAAGCAATTGCTTCTCTCTCGCGCGTCTACTTCCAAAAATGAATGTGTTATTTAAATATAAATTTTGTTTTTGGTTTTGAGCGCTTGAATAAGGAACGTTTTCGTCTATTTTTATTGATTTCTCCCTGGCCTAGTCATTAAAAGCATCAATTAACAATATGATTTGTGATTGGTTCGCATGAAATTGTAAAAAATATATTCATAGAAAGAAAACAACGTAGCGTCCATAGTCTGTCAACTATTTTAAATCAGAATTTATTGTAATCAACTCACTTTCGTAAACGGCCCCAAGAATTGCATACATAAACAGATACATTTTATATTATGTAAAGTGATTTGAACTGATAGCGCATAATAGTTGGTTTTCTTTTTTTATTTAATAATTAAAGTGATGGCTTTCGATGGCGATGTAATCGATTAATATTGAGCGTATAATAACGATGATTATCACGAAAAGCGCAATTATTATGTAATTTTGTTTTGATGCAAAACATCTTCTGTAACTTGAAGACTGTATTTACAGCAATTATTGTTGAGGAGGCGATACTCTTCGATAGCAATGTGACAATACACATTTTTGGGCCAATCTATCCAGTTAGTTTTTTTGTTTTGTTTTTCGGTTTTAATTGGCACTCAATTTCGATGTTATGTTGTGTGTGAGTGATTTACTCTTCAAATAGCGTTGCGAGCAATGAAAATTGTTGATGGCTCTGACAATGTTTAGTGGTTGGCTTTAATTGATTTCAAATGTTGTGTAATTATGATTTCAAATAAAAATCAGCTGACTTCAGCAAATATCCAGACACATATGGTTTCACGTCCACATAATACAAACATACACACATGAACAATTCGAAATGAATGGAATCAAACAACGATATTCAATCAACGAGTGTCCCAATAGACTGTTTACTTTCTCCCTCGAGTCAAATAGAGATGGAGACAGAGAGAGAGAGAGAGCGGGAGGGAGAATTTAATGTGAGATCTGTTTTTTTCTCTATCGAACTTAATAATTGCGATACACTTAATTAGGCCACAAGCACAAAGTTAACGATGTTTATTTTATAAAGCTAGTGAGTTGACTGTTGAGCTTTAGCTGCTTTTTTTCCCCTTATCTGCGCCGCGATAATTCATACATTAAATAAAAAACCGTTTGGAATTACACATATTTTTTTCCATCATCTAACGCTTGCGTTGCGATTAAATGGCACTTTTGTTTATTATTATTATCAAACAAATGTGAATTGGCTAGATGACTAATTGATATTTGTTGTTTTGAGTCATTCTGTCAATTTATTTGATTTGAGCAATCTTTTTTTCTGTTTTCCACTTGGGAAATTCATCATTGCTTGATCTAATTGAAAATTCCATCGTATTTATTGAGGCGATGCTTTTTAAATATGTGTAATTTAAATGGCTCATCTCGAACGGCGGAAGAATCATTTTGCATTTGTAATGAAAATGAATTATTTATCGTATTTTTTTCTACTTCGATAAAACGCTTTGTGTGTTGATTTGCATTGTAATTGTTTTGAATTGAAAATGATGCAGACGAAAATAAATCAGACTTACGAATGTTAATGCTCTTTGGCTTATGAAATATGAATGAAATGATCATTTGAAATATTTCACAGTGAATAATGTATGACATTGTCTCAATTGTAAAAATGGACTTGAATTCACGTATGCTTCGAGCCGGATACATTTTTACCGTTATTCGGTTATTTGGTGTGGACGCATTTAACTCGAGGCGATTCGACAAAAAAATTACCCATGGTAATGGTAGTCAGACGTCATAAAGTAAAAAATAGACTTCGCTCCAGATTAAACGAAAAAATTCAACCCGAATTCACAACAGCATTGTTCCTTTCAATGCTGGATTGAATGGTACATATTTCGTACTTGTTTGCATCAAAAGATACAGCAACACTTTAAAATGATAAGATTACGGCCAAACAATTGGTTTATTCCGAACTATAGGATTTATATAACAGACTGATTTCCAAAACAGAAACAAAACACAAACTATTTCAATCCCCATTTAATTCAACAATTTAAAACTAATTTTTATTTCATTGTTTTATTTATAGGATCAATACAGTTATGGATCGATTGCCCATCAACAGCAACCACAATCAATTGGAACCAACAGAGTCGGAGCACAAACAATGCGAAACTCAATAAACGGTGAGTTAGACACACACACACACTCGTTGAAACATAACATAACGATCATTTAATTTTCTTCATCCTTTCACTCGCTTAGGTTTGCACACACTTCCGAATGGTGTGTCAATGGGTTCAGACGCTCAATTACTTCAAAATCAAATTGCTGCGATCCAACAACAGCAACAACAACAACAAAAAATGTTGCACAACGCACTCACTCGAACAATTTCACATCAGCCAACAAACAGTGATTTGCAATTATTGCAATCAAATCTTGATGCGATCACATCAAGTGAATGCCATCGCAAATTGGAAAGAACACAATCAGAGCCAGCACCACAAGTCAATCAACAGGTGAACACATCAAGGTAAGTGTTTTTCTTCATCGACAACAAAATTTCATTGTGACTGTGTCATTTTGGTCATTTAACACTAATTTTTTTTTTGTTTTTTTGTTCCGCTTCCACATTAGATACAAGACAGAATTGTGTCGCCCATTCAAGGAGACCGGCGAATGCAAATACGGTGAAAAATGTCAATTTGCTCATGGTGAAAATGAATTGCGCACAGTTCAACGTCATCCAAAATACAAGACCGAATATTGTCGTACATTCTATGGCGTTGGTTTGTGCCCATATGGATCACGTTGTCATTTCTTACACGATTTATCTGACGATGATAATACTCGTGCACAAAATAATCGTGCGAATGCTAATCGCAATGAATCGGCTGCCATTCCAACAGCAAATGGTCGCATTGCCGCCCATCAAAATGGTTTCGGTCGTAATATTACATCGGCCGAAGTGGATGCAATCACAAAAGCGGCCCGTTTCATTGGCACAATCAAAGATGAACCAATGCCAATGGCAAGTCATCGTACATTTGGACGCAGTGCATCATTGATGAATACAAATGCGATTGCATCGATTGGTGGTGTTCATCCATTGCCAATGAGTCCACCATTGAGCATGTCAACTGGATCGGATCGTGCATCACCAATTTGCTCACTCAGTCCAACCAATTCGATTGCCAGTTTTCCATTTACCGAACAAAATTCAACATTCGGTGTGAATAATGTAAACAATTTGACAAATGGAATTTATTCGTCACATATTACACCGCCCGCTTCACCGCCAGCCATGGTGACTGTTACACCGCCACCAACACCGATTCTTGCTGCTGCTGGAGCCACCAAATCCATACCAATCAATGTGAATGGCATTTCAAATGCAGAAAAATCACGTTTACCGATTTTCAATCAGATTAGCTGCGCAAGCACAATCAACACGCTCAAAAATTTACCATTGTAAATTGATCTCTACAGAGATGCAATATAATCGGAGAGCCGCACAACAAACAACGCACGTGTGAACACTACAATCAAATTATGATAAAAGAAAAAAACTAAAATAACACAGAAAAATACACATCGAAAGACGATTAGACGCAAGTACTACTATCAAAGCAAAACAAAAACCCAATCAAATAAGTTAATGTGGAAGAAAAATGCCTCGTTAGTTATTTAAAACAAAAAAGCGCATTCAACATTTTTGGAAATTTTGGCTTTTTTGTTCTGTTTATTGTTTCATTCTTATCGGCGATCTTAATTGTTTTCACTTTTTTTTCTTTTCTTTTGGGCCGAACTAATCGCACAAAATAATATCTAATATCTAATTTTTATTTGTATATAAATTTGCACACCGTTACATAATGTATACGCGCGCGTTCATTGAAATATTATGCCTCCCCTCGCGATTTATATGCACACTTTTGATTGATTGAGTTTCTTTTTTCTTTATCGAGTGGTCATTTTACTCGTGACTATATTAATTAAATATCTAATTTAATTATTTTTTTAATTTTATTATACTTATACATCTATGTTTTTCCGCTAATTTAAAAAAAAAAACATTTATTTTGAGTTTTTCGTTAAAAAAAATCGAACGAAATGTACTACTTTGCAAAAAAAAATCGTAGCCCAATCAAAATGGAATGAATTCCGAAAAGAAAAAAAAATCAATCAAAAATTGATTCATTCAAAAAGGAGGGGCGTTTCGATCAAAAATTACATGAATAGCAAAGGAGAAGGGTATTTACTGAAAAACAACAACCTCAAAAAAAATTAATGTGATTTTCAGTGATGACATTCTCATTTTTGGGTGAATAAGTACAATGTCAGATTTGTCTTTCAATTACAATGTGTCATGTTTCTCAACTAATTCTCACTGCAACAAAAAAAAAAAAAAAAATGAGAAAGTCATCTCTGGTGATTTATAAAAAAACACACACACTTCCTTTTCTATTCGATGTCATCAAAAGCACTTATTCTAATTTATTTAAATTAATTAAAAACGTTACAGAATGTCTGTCTGTATTCAAGAAATCAATTCACAGCAAGTAGACAAACAAAAAGACAAAAAAAAAACAACAATAACCATTTTTATTCGAAACAATCAGAACATTATAAAGAAAATGATTAATTTATAAGTGCTTTATATATCATCATCATTAATTATTATTATTATTATATTTTTATATTCTATATTGTAAATTAATTTATATTTGAAACGAAAATGAGAACAAATTACAAATGTTTTTCAGTTAGAAATTTCAAAATTTATAAAAAAAAAACAAGTTAATGTGCATACAAAATTCTTCCAAATGCTTATAAGTGAAAAATAGAGAAAAACAGAGTTAATTTTTATACATGTTTCTATAATTATTATTACTATATGTAAACAATCATGTTCTTCTGCGATTAAGATAAATACATTTATGATTGAAATTGGCATATTGAAAATGATTTAATAGATCACTGGAGTGACTAAGAAGCAATAGCATTGTGACGCATAAATAATCATAAATCTTACAAATTTTCCTATGATTAAGAATCAACCATTTATATTGGATTGTGAAATACCACTGAAAAAACAAATGAATCCGATCGATTCTATCGTGGAATTTTCACAGTCACTTTTTTTTTCTTCAGTTTTAGTAGAGATTTATCTTTCTATTAAGTTGTGTTTCTTATGTTTTTTTTTTATTCGTGAATGATTTTTGCTTTTTTTTCTACTTTAACTTTGCTTCACAGTGTGCAAATTTTCAATTAGCATTAATGTGTTTTATTGTCATCGATTTTGGGCTCACGATTTATTACTATACTATTATTATATCTACAAATATTTTTTTTGTGCGTGTGGCATTTTTCTGTGAACATTTTCATTGATTAGAAGGTGTAGGAGTTATTTTATACGATTTTAAATTATTATTTTCTTTTTTCTTCTTCTTCTTCTTATTTATAAGTTGCAAACAAATCTATTTACTATATTTTATTCTAACATAGAAAAAAGAAAATGATCGGACAATAACAAACGAAAGCGAGAGAAAAAAAGTGGAAAAAAATAAACAAACAAACTTTGTTTGCGAGTGTGATTTTCGCGCACGCAATTGTGATAATGGCACCATTAATAAGTCCCTGCACGTTTTTTGTGGTTATGTATTGTTTTTTTTTTGTTTAAATCCAAAGTGCATTTGCACAAACACACATATTTAAAAAAAAATGAAAAATTTCCGCACAAATATTAATGAAATGCAGAACCAATATTTAAAAAGATCATATACTAATTTGAATGGAAACAAAACAAATTTCTTCCTCAAAGTAAAAATAGCTATAAAATAAACGCTTAGATTTAGAGCAGATTCATCATGGAATTTGAAACAATGCATTAATTTATATAACTAAAAACTACTTTTTTTGTTTCTTGTTCGATCGCAACACAACCCCACACAAATTATACATTTGAAGTTAGTCAATAGAACGAACATTATTTTCACAGTAATAATAATTCATTTTGTGCTTCTCTTCGCTTTTTATACAAATATTTAAATGAAATCGATGAATGTTTTGGCGTTTATCAAGTTATTAATGTTCTTTTTTGAGAGAAAACTGAAAAAAATCCTTTCAGAAAATATAGAGAGAAATGTTTTTTTTGGATGTTGGGTTCAATTGAAACGAACCATTGAAAAAAAACGATACCAATTTATGACTATGAAAATGAAAGTGTTTCGTTCAATTATGAATAACTAACTCAAGGATTCGTTCACCATTTATGTGCCTTAATCATCATATTAATTTTCAGTTCAATTGTGTGCAAGTGACACATTCGAATCGAGCCGATTTGAACATCATTCGGCACATTCACGCATCACTTGCCCGCACACTGAATATAAAACAATATTAACGATCGATATCAAACATATAATATAAAGTAACATATTTATTGAAAACAAATGAAAAATTTAAAATGCAAATGTAAGAAATCAATTAAGTAGATGTTTAAGTTACATTTTAATTAAACGGAGGATGGAGCTAAAAAAGATATACCCTTCGCATCGACGAAATGCACACACACACACACAAACACATACATACATTTTGCAAATGATTTCCACTTTTCTTCCCCTAAACAATGATCATGATACTTTTTATAAGGCAATTCAAAATAATAATTTATAATATCTATTAATGTGTAATGGTACTGTTATGCAACTCTTAAACACATAATCACCCTTAAATTTCTATTGTGGTTCCATAATAATAGTCTTTTGTGTTTGTTGTGAAAAACGAATTAGGAAATGTCACTAATTGCAGTGGCTGCAAAACAAAAAAAAACACATGATTTATTCAAAAAGTCAAAATTCTTCCATTTTCAATTTAAAAAAAAAGAGAGACATATTTTATTATTATTTTATAGAAAACCATATTTTTGGGAAAAATTATTTTATTATTTTTGAATGGTGAAAAAACAAATACCTTCAGCACAAAATTAAGCAAAAAAAAAAAACAAACAAAAGTTTAGATAATTAGGCAAACCGATTCTTCCTGTTTCGTAAAACAACCGACAATTGATTTATGGATTTATTTTTATTATCATTATTTTTTATCTTTAATTTAATTTTTTATTTTTTTCTCCTTGCTCTTTATATATTTATCAAGATATATTATTGATACGTATAACAAAAAGCCAACAACCAACAACAAATTAATTAAACAAAAAAAAAAACACAAAAGAGACGTGAACTACATTTTAATGAAAAAAAAAAGTAATTTGTTTGAAAGAGGAGAAATTAAGTGGATTGTAGCCAATAGATTTTTTATGTTTAGCCTTAAATAATTTATTAATCGTCATTTTCAAGTTTAGATACAAATTGCATTCAAATATATCAATAAAAATTTTACAAAAAAAAAACATCAACGCTCTTTTCATTCTAAAGATTCGTTTCTTCTTTTTGATTGTTTTTTCAGTTTTTCTTTCAGTTATCAACAATATTTTATGTGATGGAGTAAATACTTGACTTTATTGGCACCGGTGCCCACACTTATTCCATGAAGTTTTTCAATAGAATAGTACCTGAGTATAAGAAAGAGCAGAAGAAAAGTGTCCGTACCGTCCGCGGTGTAAGTATAAAAATCGGAAAATGTGTGTTAGGATTTGAAACAGTAAACACAGACAACACTTTTAGCCATTGCATGATAGATGGCGCTTGAATGAGACGAATGCTGTCATTTTTTTATTGCCTGCAAAGAACAGACAAACAAAATATCTATACACAATCAGGGCAAAACAATACTTCAAGTGTGTGTATCGAGTGGCTTTCAAATTGGAAAATAGTTTGGATGTCAGTATTTTCATGTTTGTCGCATCGAACAGTTGATCGGATGGATTTAGCGCGCTTTTGCCAACAGTGAGACAATTGAACCGAACGTAACTCAATAAAACATTGATTTTCTTATCAATAAAATGAGTTATTGGTTGCAATAAGTGAGCGATATCGATGCGAACATTTCTGGTGCATAAGTGAAAACGACTTTTATTTCCGTAGCATATAGTGTTGTTTTGAAAACGATAAAAGTTTGTGGTTTTTTGTTTTGTTTTCTTGTGCCATATAAGAGTTGTGGTATTTTTCATTATAATAAGCAAACGATGAGTGTAATTGGTAAAAAATTGAATCCAATACAGCAAGCAAGTGGACACAGCGACGAGAATGCACCAACAACGAATAGTAGTGAAGCAACCAAGATATCACCAGACGATGTTCTTCGGCTGACAACAATCACAGATGATTATTTATGTTGTTCAGGTTGGAAAAACGAAACCTTTTAATTAAAACGAAATTTATTTCAAACGAAAGCAATCAAAACGAACGCCCAGATAAATCGATATCGAAAGGCATATCGAATGAATGACACAGTATAAACGATGTATTCCTCCAACGCGCTCCAAAAAATGTTATCATGCCTGTGTCTTTTAATTACTCGCAAGCATACAAGTAGACTAGAAACCACGGAAAACTGAGTTTGAATAATAGAAGAAAAAATACACACCAACCCTATTGTTTCAATGTTGCTCTTTAATCATCAAACTCATTATTTTTTTCTCCTCTTCTTCTTATTCTTCAATCTACTTTCCAAAATAAATTATTCACCAAAATATTATTGATCCAAGTTCGTGTGTTTTGAAAATTTCATTTTTTTTCTTTATTTTTTCCCTTCTATTTCCATAACATCGCGCATCAGAATCGATTAGGTCAATGAAATACACTTTTTTGCAGAAAATTATTTTTGCATTATTAATAACTTGTATATTCATATGTAATGTGTATCTAAGTAGTTTTTTATGGATTTTTTTGTTCATCGTTTTTTTGTTGTTGTTTTTTGCATTTTTTTCTTCTTATTGGTGTCTGTGTGCCCTGAATGCGCTGAAATGGGGATGCAGACGACAATGTGTACGACATTGATTTTACAAGATTTAAAATACGTGACCTAGAAAGTGGAACAATTTTGTTCGAAATTGCAAAACCGCCGAGCGAACAATTTCCCGAGGGTAGCGTTGTCGCCGATGAAAATACTATCACCAACGATGATGTGATAACAAATGCTGACGAAACGAATAATATCGATTCGAATGCAGGACGATATGTGCGATATCAATTTACGCCACAATTTCTAAAGCTCAAAACTGTCGGAGCAACGTAAGTGATGTCCTTTGAATTGCATTCACTCCATTCATTATGTCCCCATTTCTTTTTTTTATTAATGTAATAATGTTTATTATTTGTAATTTATATATATATGCAGGGTGGAGTTTACAGTTGGAACAAAGCCTGTAAAGAATTTTCGTATGATTGAACGGCATTTTTTCCGTGATCGCTTGCTAAAGACATTCGATTTTGAGTTTGGCTATTGCATTCCACATTCCAAAAATACATGTGAACACGTGTACGAGTTTCCAAGGTTACCTGATTCATTAGGTATTTTACAATTTCAACTTTATTGGCCAATAAATCAATTTTATTAAAAAAAAAACAATATTCCATATCAATTTTATCTTTTCATTTATTTAGTGAACGAAATGATATCAAATCCATTTGAAACGCGATCCGATTCATTTTACTTTGTTGATGATTGCCTTGTGATGCACAACAAAGCCGACTATGCATATGACGGAGGTTTGAATGCATAAAATTGAACCACCTCGTGCTTGTTCAACAATTAATTTAATTTATTTGCGTGTAACTATAACCAAAGTTCAATTAAAAATTGCGATATGGAGTTATCTCTAAAACAAAACAGATATAAACTGGCGATTATAGGAAGAAGAACAGAACAGGAAACATATTGAATTCATCATAGATTTTAACTATTTTTTTCCCGTTAGAAATATTAGTTTTTGTATACAGTTTGGTGTTTGCATTTGAGAAATAATTTTAATATGCATGTTCATCGCGAGCATAAAAGAGGTCACATGAAAAATGACCCGAAATATTTATTCGGGTCGTTTGACACGGATTAGTTAATTCATACCAAAAACGCAACTGGTGAGCCCCCACATCAAGTAGAAAAAGTACAGCGTTTACGTCACCGCCACTTGATGTCATGCGATCAAATCATCATCACCTGTTTTGCCTTAATTAAAAAAAACAAACAACCATTTTCCTTTATTATTGTTCTTGTATACATAGTGCAATATCTTTTATGGGACAAATTCCAATTTTTTTTTAACTTTTTACAAGTGCACCTTAAAGGCTTTTAGGTTTTTATCAAGTTTTACTTTAAGCTTAAGATGAATAATTTTTAATAATTTTTGTTTTTATATTGTGTTTCAAGTTAATTTAGTATGTATGTATCTATTTTGTTTTCATTTCATAGTTTATTAGTTTTTTTGCACAAAACCAAAATTAATTTTAGTTTGATCAAATTTTTGTTAGTTAGAATTTTTTATGCCCCACCGATGTGTTAAAACAGACCACAATCATCATTTTTAAGCAAATTTGGCTTGAGTTTAGAAATAAGTTGTGGATAAAAGGTAGCGGATATGGATGAAATAACAAGTTAACACAATAAGAAGAAGAACCATTGCCCAACAATACAATTTAAATGCCAAAACTATTACAATTTTAATCGATAAATTTCTTGTCAAATGTTTTATCAGCAATAGCCTCTTAATGAATCGGAAATGATACAAAACTTAAACTAATTAAAAGTTCCTGCTTGAAATTGACTCATATATTATCATAATCGAATGTGACATGCAAAGCACAAGCCACAAATATATGAGGTCGCCGCAAAACCGACCAAATTCAATATAGCATTGCGATTATGTATTTTGACCGAATGACCACGCAAAAACACATAAACACCATGCAGCTCGATAGCGCTCCACATTTCAACATACCAACGCGATAGATGGTTTTTATTTTCTAAATTGCATAAAAATGTCACATATTGTTCTCGAACGAATTTACAAGAGTTTCACACAAATATTCATTTACCAAATACTTAAAAAGTGATTGTAATATAAACAACAACAACAATAATAACATAATAAAATGGACAACAGGTTTAGCTGAAATCGAAATTATAAATGTAAAAATAAAACAATATGAAAAATATATTTCAAATTTGATGGCAGTGGCATTTTCTTGCTATTTTTATACTCTCTCTGGTCATAGATAACATTTCCATCTATTTTATTACAGCCATAACTTGCACATTAATAATAAATGCTTTCCGGCAGCTGCCACTCCTTGCAAATTGAATGAAAACACCCAGGTGAGTCCCCAGTGTGTACAATTTTCCTTTTTCAATTTGCTTGCAGTTCGGGCAAATTTTCATTTCGGAAATGGATTTTGAGCGAAACACTTTCAAAATGATGAAAAAAACCAGTGACCGGTTCGCGCATATTTCTATGCTTGCCTAAATACGCTAGGTAGCATAGATATGCCAAGCATAGCCGCAAACGCAACCGACGCATCGCCGTTCACTCTATATGAACAATACACATGTTCGTTTATGCAGACGACCGTGCGCATACAATATAGCTCGAATCGAATGGTGACGGGTGCGTTGCGGCTTGCGTCTCCGCTATGCTTAGCATAGCTATCAGGCATAGAAATATGCGCGAACCGGTCACTGAAAAAAACACACACGATTTCTTTAATCATCGATTTAATTTCGTCTTAGCTTTACAAATGGCAACTAAATATACAAATTGGTAACTTTTATTTTCGATTAAGATTTACGAACGAAATTTATTCAAATATTGGCCGATGGTTGAATGTCAAGAATTGATGAATTCAGTAGCGAGTTTTACAAATTCATTCGGTGCTTCGACTTGCACTAAATGTCCCGTATCCAAAAATTTCAAATCGGCCTGTGGAAATATTTCACGAATACGCGTCAATTCGTCTGGTGCTCTGTGTATGAGAACAAAAACAAACTTTCAATTATACAGAGATAGAATGTTGTAAACCAGTATCCGAACTCTTACGTTAAATAATCGGATTTGGAACCTCCAATAAATAGAATCGGGGCAGAGTATTTATTTAACGCTAATCGTTGTTGTGGCCCAAGAAAACGTGATATATGCTTGCCAAAATTATCATCAAGACTGTCGACGTTGCTGCGCCATTTGATTCTGGAATTTAATGAAAAAGGGTCATGTTTAAAATTTCTCTGAATGCAACAACCCAAATCCTAACTTACGCCCCATTGACTGCACGGTACAAGTTCATCAGGATAAACGATCGAGTCACTTGATCGGGAATGAATTGTTTAATTTGCTCGTCGGCCAGTATACGCGCTTTTGGTAATTCAATGTCATTTGGCAGACTAACTCGCCGCATCGCGGAAAATATTTCGCCCATGCCTTTCAATGCTGGTGAGGTTGTGACTGGACTGACATCCACTATTATTGCTTTTTCAACTAGATGTGGATATTTTAATGCAAACACCATCATTGCTCTTCCTCCCATACTGTGCCCAATCACAATTGACTTTGGTATTTTGTGCTCCTTACAAAATAAATGGACATCTTCAGCCAAATCAATGTACCGATGGTTAGGAGAATGTGGACTCTCACCATGGTTCCTAGCATCAAGTGCAATTACCTGAAGATAAAAGGTAGTCATTTTGATTAAATATTTTTGACTTATTTATTGGTATCGATTACCTTCCGTGTCGGATTTGATTTCGAATGAATCGCCTTACTGATACTGCGCCAATTTTGTTTTGATCCAAATAAACCTAAAATGAAATTGATGGAATTGCTAAGCTTTTAATTTAATGTAAAGTTGGATTTTGTTTACCATGCATAATAATAACAGGTGCTGTTGTTGTTGAGTCACTAGACAAATCTTCGTAAGAATTGTACGATAATTTCAATGGTTCAACAGGAGTATCATCCACTGAAGTGGTCTTATCCGTCCGTTTGCTGCCTTTTGTGGCATAGCTGCATCCTGTCGATCGTGTAACTAAAACACTATGACTCCGAAGTACACATCCCAAATTGAGTACTTTCTGCATTTTTTGGTCCTTTTACTCAGTATCGCCGTATCAATTTTGTTACATAAAATCGCTATATTCGCACAGCGACTTATTCACAGATCGGACATATTGACACAAACGATGAATAAATTTCTTACTTATGATAAATCTAATACAATTGCATTGAAACTAAAGAAAACTTCATTCGGTTCGATATATTTGACGGTCAATTGCATCGAGATAAAAAAACATATAGATAACGAAATTCGAATAAGACATAAGCTCAATATATACGTAGCTGTCAAAATCATGTGTTGAATTTTGACATTCCTACAAATATGTCGGAACCGAAACTCACCACATCCCAAAAATGGTGATTACCACCGCAAATTCCCATACAAACACTTGACAACGTTCAGCATTGTTATTTAGTTGGGATTTTTGTACCGTCCACTTTAAGGTTATCTTATACATTTCAAACATGATGTGGATCTCAAAATGATGTCAAAACAAATAACAAACCTGAAAATACAACCTTAAGAAAATATGAACGAAAATAAAATAAAATTGAGCTTAATTGGCGACACCGCATATTGTTTTAATGCTGATGGTAAAATAATGGATATACAATTTGAATTACCTTGAATAAAAATCGCTCTGTTTGTAGATTATATGACAATTCGTACCGAGTATCACATTGTCGGCCGATTGATTGGTAGCACGGTGAAATGGCCAAGAAATATCAGTCTTAGTGGTAGGCATTTTATTTAATTTTTTTCATTGACGTTGTCCAAATTGTGAATGTTTTTTTTTCTCAATTTCCCCAATTTTAGGATTGCCCGCAATTTATTCTCCGTACGAAACACAATTGCTCATTGACAAAGGCGTTATTCAATTGTGTAAAAAGACGTTTTCGGATGTGCCGAACGAAGAAAATGAAGCGCAATACGTAGAAAGTTGTGAAGGACATCTGAATGCATACAAAGAATCGTATATGGAGAAGCGCATTGGTGATGCCAAAAAATGCATGGACAAAATTTTAGCGGGAAAACGAAAAAAAGTGGCCAAATTGGGCGGTGATCCAAATGAAATAACAGAAGAAGCCATTCTAGAGGATGTGCGAAATCGTGCGATAAACGATGTGCCCAAAGCATTTGTACAAATTCCCACACAAGAACCATTCATTGAACTTGGTTAGTTTTTTTTTTGTCATACGTGTTTGTGAAATACGAAAAACTAAAAATGCATTTTTTTTCGTTCAACAGATTTTGAAGAGGTGAAAACCGCGCCAAATATTGATCCCATAAAATATCATGTGTTCTGTGATTTATGGGGAAAAGGTCATTGGATAACATTTGGTGCGATATTTGGAGGTGACTTTCTAATCTATCCGGGCGAACCATTCCATTTTCATGCGTCGCATATTATCCATGTACTCACCGAAGAAGAGGCCAAATCAATACCGATTCCGACTTTTATCACACGATCACGGCTCAGTGTTGCTGTCAAAAAACTATGTACTTTCGTTTATGAAAACAATGAGACCCACGAATTGTGCTATCAAACCGTACAATGGCAGGGAAAATAAATATTTTATACCAAAAATTGTATTTTATTTGGATACGTTTTATTCATGAATATGTACAAACCAGTAATGTGCGAGCTACATTTTACAGGGGGGGTGATTTTTCAAAAACAAAAAATTCTCTAGCAAAACAGACAAATTTTCGTTTTTTTTTTTTTTGGAAGTCACTTTTTGAGGCGAAAATCCCTAGCAAATCGAAAGAATTTTCTCCGCGAAAAACCCTAGCAAATCGGACAAAAATCTCTCGGAACCAAAAACCCTAGCAAATTGAAAGAATTCTCCTCAATTTTCTACATTGATGACCTAAAAAAAAAAAGGTCTTCACTTTTTTCGTGAAAAACCCTAGCAAATTCGAATAATTTTCACGACAACCCCCTTCGCACATTACTGGTACAAACATTTTTTTCTTCAAAAGTTAGCTTTTTTAAAATTGAAAATATCAAAACTCGGAAAATGTTTACCCGAAATTCGTACACCACCAAAGTGAATGTCATTAAAATGTACAATTCAAATTCATTTCACAATGAAGAAAATGCAATACAAAAAAACACATTCAAATCGGTTTGTCGTTGACAGTGGCCGATATCGAACAGCGAATGCGTTGGCTACTATGCAAAATATCACAATTACCTTTTGTTGTTGTTACTGCTGTCGTATGTCCGTACATTCGCAGTACAATGTTGTCACTGACGATGTGTGTACAACGGCGTATCTCTGTACTACCAAATCTCAATTTTTGTCAGCAATCTGTTTGCTGTTGCGACTGTGTGGTCAAACTATATAGTCTCTTACATTCTAATGGTTTCCCAATCATCTCTCACTCACTCATTCGGCACAGACATACACACTCTCTTTCTAACTCACATACATTCCTGTTTCCATCATCATCGTCATCGTCATTTGAAAATCTCATTGCACATATTATAGAATTAATGTGAATAATGATAATGGAACAGACTGAAAATGAATTCGAAGGAATGGATCAGGAATTGTGGAGTAATGGAATAGTATTTGTTAAGTAAGTATGCCTCGTGTCAAATGTGTAAATGTCATCAATTGGACTAGCAATTGGAATATTGAAGCGAAATCGCCACTTGCCTTGTATTCTATGCAGCTGCTTTAGCAGAAGTAATTTTAAAAAAGCCAACTTTTGAAAAAAGAAAATGTTTGTACATATTCATAGATTTTTTGAAATTTGAAGTCAACCGGAATTTGACTATCCATCCTTTTATTTTGTAAATAAATGTTTCTTAAATTTTTAAATTTTGAGATTGAATAACAAAAATCACTTTTGCTTATTCAAACTTCATGAAACTTATGGATAAAATATTATTTATTCTTCGATTGAGTTTTCATCGGCCAGTGATCATTCAGTTTGCTTTTCTTCGCCTTTAACCTCGACAAGTGATCCTTTGGCCTCTTCCTCGATTGGTTTTTCTTCAGATGGCTTTTCCTCGGTTGGTTTTTCTTCGGCCGGCTTTTCCTCGATTGGTTTTTCCTCGGCCGGCTTTTCCTCGATTGGTTTTTCCTCGACTGTCTTTTCTTCGGCTGGTTTTTCCGGTTGTGCCAATTCGTAGACGTTGTACTTTTTCAATTTGAAGTAGTCGGGTAGCAAACTAATGCAACACAATCCTATCAACAACAAAAAATTGAAAATTAATTTCATAAACGTCAACAAGAAAAAAAATAAATCTTTCAAACCTTTCATGATTTCAATTGCAATCGTAATTTTCGGATTTTTCAAGTCAACTTTGTGTGCTGGACACTTGAAGTCAATCAGTTCGGCAATTTCTTGAATGATTTTCATTCGGTCGAAAGTGGTGTTGTGTCGTTTATTGACCACAACCGAATACGTGGTCGGTTCACTTTTGAGAAGAACTTTGTCAAACAATCGACCGGCGGCGTTCAAGATGTCTTGATTATTTGCACGGCAAATTGCATCCACAGGCCACAAACGAAGTAAATAACGTGTCTTTTGTGTTTTCGTTGCAGCAATGTCACGCACCAGACGAACACCTTAATTTTAAACAAAAAAAAATGGTGATTTTCAAGCTATAGATTGAACCGATTTTTGTTTGCACTTACCGAGCTCATTTGGATCTTTGACGTTTGTTTTTATGAAAATGCAATTGGGCATCTTGGAATCAATCTGTTGGAAACGTGAATGATCGAATTTTTTCGCTTTGGTCATCGTTTTGATTTGCTTTTCCAATGTTGTCGCAATATCCTCTTCTTCGTCATCATCATCATCGTCATTGTCGTCATGTACCTTTGCACCGACAACTGTATCGCTGCTGCCGGGTGTATCTTTCGTTGGTGATTTTTCACATGCAATGGCCGCCTCATTTTGTTCTTGCACTTGTTCTTGGTCAGCGTATTCGTTCAACAAATTGTAAGCTTCGCGAACACATTCCTTTTCACGAAAATTACAAGTGGCCAAAAACCCGACTTGACCCGGCTCCATCATAGATTTCGACTTTTTCTGATTTTTGTAATAATTCTTGCTCTCCATTTTGCGTCGTTTACTGTTCACTTCCTCTGACATAATGAATATGCAATTTTTTTCTCTCGCACACCAAACACACACAATGTCGATTCTCAGATTCGATTTACCGTTAAAATTCGATTTATGTTTTGTTGTCTCCGTCAGTCTTGTGCATAGATTTGGCACTTTGTTGTTGTGTTTCACTTGGACACATTTTTCGTATGACAGTTCACACGATGCAATGCTGTCACAGGCACTCCAATCCCAACGAACAACAACGACGATTGCCGCAATGCATTTGTATGGGATGCCATACGATTTTTGTTCACTGGGATATGTATGACATTTCGAAATTGTGTTGATATTACGATTTTGTCCGACAAACACCCATACAAGCACACATACAGCATATCACACTAATGAATCGGCATGGACGCCATATTGAAAAAAAAGAAGATAGAATTGATTTTGTGTGAAGTATGAAGCTCATTCTCGTTAGTACACATTCAGCGGTATATATCGATAGCATTGTCGTCGGCATTTCATACACACTGTATTCGGAAGCGAGCGATATTAGAAAAATTGATTTCCACACAAAGACAACAGCTTAAAAAGAAAGAAAATTATCATTTCTTCTTCTCTCTGTTGACTATCATCACAATTGCTATCGATTTTCAAACTATTTATTAAAACCGATTTGCATTTTTAAAAAACCAATTCTATAAGGTAAGCATCAAATTCAAGGTTAACCCAAATCGAATAATAAAGTTTAAAGTAAAAGAAAGAAAGTTTTACAAGTGAAAATTTAAATTGCTGAAGTACCAAATGAAGAAAAATATTTAAAAAAAAAACTTAAAATGTCACCCGAAACACAGTCAAACAATACGCTCTAATTGAGTTTAGCTAAGTTTGCTGTATCAAAACGAAGAGCGAACGACACGAAAAAAAAGAATCAAAGATGGACGATTGTAACACCCGACAAAAAAAAGACTGAGTAAAATTTCTTTGGTCGAGAATTGCGAAGCGTCGAAAATATTTCCACGAGAATGTGTAAAAAAATTGCGTTTTAACCGAGAGTTTAGTTATTTAAAAAAAAGTATTGTCGAGATACGCGTAAATCATGAGAAAAAAAACGTTGTGTAAAAATTTAGTACGAAGTGTGTATTTCATTCAAGAGACATGTATATCTGATTTGAAACGCATAAAAAAAATTATGCGAATCAAGAACTCAAAGTGTTTTTTATTAAATTGAATGTAATTTTTTTATGAATACATTTTTTTAATCATTCCCAAGAAGAACAACTGAAGAAGTAAACGAAATGGTTTCGTATATGGTTTTTACTGGTCCAAATTTTATTGACCAAAGCAAAATCGATTGCCTCGCACTCACTCGCATCAAACACACAAACACACACGCATACATATAAACAAAAAAAACAACAACAAAAAACATGTTTTAAAACCTAAATAAGTAACAACATTTGAACGATATTTTCAGCATGTGCGCTGCTCCCATATGAACTCATTGAAAAGCGTTGAGAATCTCGTACAAACATACGCAAAATGTTGTTTGTACGGCGTTATTTTAAACGAAAGAAGAGTCACAAAGAAAAATTCACGCGAAAATTAAAGTAAAACAAGTCAAACAGTTACATAAACCAGTGCATTTCAGTTGATGTAAAAATGTTCTAGTTGGTTCCGATGGTTCGTTATTTTTTTTTTGTCAAAGTCAAGTCAAGTCGAAATGTTATTTTTATCGAACGTACTTTCTCTCTCTGCATATATAGTTCAGTAAAGTCAAAGTTTTCAGTATTAAAGATATTTTTGTCTAAATAACTAATTGAAATAATCAAGTAAAAAAAATATAATTAAGATGGTGAAAATTCTACTCCAAATTATAAATTATGTCGCAAAGGTAAGACACGGATTGATTCACAAGAATCAATCAAAACTAAAACTAAAAATCAAACAAACCAAACCAAAAATCAATTTGATAATAGTTTACCAAAACTTAGAAAACAGCAACATCAGAAGTGTTTTTGTTGTCACAGATGACGGAAATATTGATTTCTGCTAAAGACTTTCGTCATAGTTTGCCATTCATTTGTCGATAAATAGGCATCATGGTACATAATCAAACACCGACAAAAAATGGTGTAAATTCTACCTAATATTTTATTCTATGTCATTTATAATTGAACGAATATCGGAATGAAAAGAAATCGGCGCCATTCTTGTCGGTGTTTGAAGTCATCTACCTATCAAACAGAGACGTCAAAACACAAATTCAATTTCGTACAGAAATTGATCAGAGGCGTTTAATTGTGAAACGAATGTTATATTTTTGTTTGATACATTGTTCATTTTCATTTCTAAATCAATTTTTAACATTTTGCAGACATCGAAAAAATGGATAGTGAAGATTCGCGACCCGGTTCGTCTGCGTCGAATTCATCTTCATCGTCGGTGGAATCTAATGAAAATATTGAAAATGGCTCTGTATCATCGTCACGTAAGTCTCGATCCAAATCGGTAAATTCGAATTCGAGTTCGGCAAATTCAAGCCGAAATCATTCGCCCGAATCACAAGCAGCTGTGTTGAAAGAGCCACAATCGCCCGTTCAAGATTATGATCAAGATAATCAAGATTCACAGTCGCGTTCAATGTCACGAGCATCAAACCGTTCGGATATGTCGAGCGAGGGCCATGCAAACGGTTCAGTAAACTCTCGACGTGATAGCCGTTCATCTGATCGAGATAATCAGGTATCATCGCGTGAGCAATCTATGTCACCAACGCGAGAAAGTGGCTCACGGAATTCAAGTGTGTCAAGCTTGCCGGCAAATAATGGAAAAACAAGAAATGATGCAATTAACATAAGTCACGAGGATTTAAGCGATGTCAGTGATTTAGAAAGTGCTGCCGCTTCACCTATCAACAATGACAAACCTGATGTAAGCAGTTGTCTAGATTTTTCGTTTTCGTTTGTGTTTTATTTTGATTACATTTATCGATTGAACAGGATAATGAAGATGCAAAAGAAAAAGCGCCGGCAATAGTTGACCTACGCCAAAAAATTAATGAAAAGAAAAGCCAACACAAAGCGCTGGACGATAAGCATAACGATCAAGGTAACAAACAGAGTCCATCAATTGTTGATGAAATCAATGATATTATGGACAAGAAACACGACGAGGATGCACTGGACTTTGAGGCTGAAGATGGCGAATGTGCCGACGAAAAGGAGGAAAAGCCAACAGAATCAAAGGAGCCAGATAACAAACCGAAAAAAGACTCGGACGGTGAAATTGAGGTATACATAGACATAATACAATACGTTTTTATTTTTTGTGTCTAAATCACGAATATTACAGGAAGGTGAAGAATTAGAAGAGGGTGAGGTCAGCGACGAAGATGAAAAACGACCAGAAGAAACGGAACCAAAGCCAGTGTGTCGATTCTATACACGTGGACAATGTACTTGGGGTATGAGCTGCCGCTTTTTGCATCCAGGTGTTACAGACAAAGGAAACTATACTATGTTTGACATGATTCGACCAGTTCCCGTAAATGCACATGCACCGCCATACGGACCGGGCGGCGTTGTGCCATCGTATCATCATGATTTTCGTAACGAACGACCGGCAATGCATCCAATGCATAATGCACCACCACAAGCACGTCCAATGCCTGAACCGGTAGTTGAAAGTGCATGGGAACGTGGATTGCGAACAGCAAAGGAAATGATGCGAAAAGCAAACAAACGTAAAGAACAAGATATGGACTTTGAAGATAAGAAAATGAATTTATCAGCATCACAAGATGAATTAGAAAAGGATAATTATTACATTCGTGAACGATCGCCGGAAATTTCATCACAGCCCGGTTATGGGAGGCCACCGATGCCAATACATCATCCACCGATCAAAGGTGGTGGTTACAGTCCACCGCCAGTACCACATAAATATGGTGGAATGGCCCCGAGACCAGCACCAATTCCATACGAAGACGATCCATATGGTCGTTCGATGCGATACCGCGAACTACCACCACATCGAATGCCACAATATGAAGATGAAATAATGGCGGGAAAACGTCGTATTAGACCAGCACGTGAAGTAATTGTTCAACGCGTCGAACCAGTCGGACGTGGCGATGAATGGAACGATCCATGGATGCGATCAAAATCACCTGGACGCGAACGTGAGAAGCGACAAAAACGTGAACGAAGAAGCTACAGCAGTAATTCATCGTACAGTAGCTCAAGGTATGGATTTGAAAAGAAAATTCTTGGTAATATTTTTCCGATGAATAATGTTTAATTTTATTTACCAGCAACAGTTCATCACAATCTGGTTCTAGCTCAAATTCCAGTCGATCACCAACACCATCGAATCGCCGCCGACGTTATAGTAGCACGCGCACCAGCGGTCACAAATCTCCGGTTCGTGGTCGCCATGTGAAACGATCACAGTCACCAGATGTACACAAACGACGTCATTCACCGGGTAAGAATTTATTTCGAATCGCATTGGCACTCTACTAACTCATAAACAAATGAAAAACTGTTGTAACTAATCCATTGTCATTGTGCATTGTTTCATCAAGTTCAAATTCATCCAAATGTGAGCAAAGAACCCCATTTTGATGCTAAAAAAGACTTACGTAATCATCCTACATTAAGCAAAAGAGCCAATCCAAATATAGGTATTTTGCATCGGTTTTCAATGCTTAACTTTTGCACAAATATTTTTCCGTTCACATTTACTTTGTGTTAATTAGTGATTTTGTTTTTTTTGCACTTTATCCTCTTTGTTTTGTTGTTTGAATTTGCATTTCGTTCTATTTATTTAAAACCCGAATAATGGCATAATTCCGATAGATATTTTTCTGTTTGCACTACATTCAATGCAGAAAACTGAATATTTATGCGACAAAAATTGATTGAATTGAAAATAGAAAAATATTCGTCCGTACAGTATGAGCAAAAAATAACCCGATTTCTTCCATTTTACAGTTGTACGTCGCTCGCCACCCAAAAAACGTCAAGCAACACCTCCGATCAACGACAAACGTATCACCCGATCACCAGCAAACAAAAGGAAACGAGTAAGTTTGAATTTTCTTATCCACTTGATTTTTTCTCATCCAGAAAGGTAATAAAAATGATCGATTTTTTTATTAGCAGACATCGCCACCACCACCTCCTCCTCGAAAACCAATTTCGTTTTCGATTGCTTCAAATAATAATCTTCGCAAAAAGAAACGATCAAGCTCGTCTGGATCAGGTAATAATGAGTTTATTTTTTTCTCAGGATTGTATATGCAAGAATCTTGTTGTGAATATAAATAAAACGACTCTTTTGCATACGTATAGGTTCATCTGATTCGAGTGCATCAGAATCAGGATCATCAGATTCATCCAGTTCAAGTGCGTCATCATCACGTAATGGACACAAACCACGTTCACGCGATAAGGTCATCAGTGAACGGAAACTGGCTAGTAAGAAAGGTACAATGCGTTTATCTTCATTAACAGATATCGACGTTTGTTTTTTAATTTTCTAATTATGAATTCATTTTTTTTTTCAAATCCAGTTGAAGCAGCCGCCAAAAAACGATCACCGCCCGCCCAAAGTGGTAAGGCATCTGGTGATGGTTCAGCAAATAATACAAGTAAATCAAATTCGTCATCATCATCGTCGGCAAATGCAAAGAAATCGACGCGTCGTGAGGAGCTATTGAAACAATTGCGAGCCGTTGAAGATGCAATTGCGCGCAAGCGCTCAAAATTATCTTGAACTGATTCGATGTGTGTGCACCGTCGTGCACAAATATAGATTTATATTGTTTTATATTAAGAAAGTTCACAATCTTTTACACAAGTTAAATATTCAACGTAGTAATCCATAATTGATAAAAATATCAGTGAAGAAAATTGTAATGCACACTGAATAAAAGAAAAGATGATAAAGTTGGCTGCTGAAATATGAATATCTCCTATTCTATGGAAAATATTCAAGTAGATTTACACATAATATACGGAAATATTATTGACACTTATTGTTTAATCCAATGCCAATCGAATGCATTGAACAAGAATTTAGGTAGTGAACCAATGAAGAAAAAAAAAACTAAACAACAGTGAACCATTGGGATGACACATTTTATTGCAGTAGGAATTTCTTCTATTCGAAATGAACAGTGAAATATAATTAGATTTGCTTAAATTTTATAATCTTTTCTTCGTGAGAATTCAATATATAATCAATATGACATATATACCGTGTTCTCTCATATAAAAAAAAAACGGAAGGATAGGAATCAATTTATGAAAAATGGACTTTAATTTTTTTTGTATACAATTTATCATAAATATACCAATAAATCTGATAATAATAAATCTGTTCACTATTCATTATCAAACTATAAGAACTCTTTTATTACACTATGGTTGCATTTTTTGATGGTCAAAAATCACTGGGCGAACTTTTTTTTTTTGAAAGGTCATCGACTCATTGAATGGGTAAATATTTGAATAAACTTTGTAGCTTGATTGTTGTACGAAGGTTTTTTTTTAAAGAGATGATATGCTGGAAAATCACACATCCAGTACAATAATTTTGAAGAAAAGATGCCTTGATAAGTAAACACTCCTAAATACTCGATAATTGAAGCATTTTTGAAGAGAATTATTCTGAGTCTGAATTGCTTCTATAAATATTTTAATATAATTCTGAATTTACTTCTTGGAAAACACGACCTATCTACTCAAAGTCAAAATGCTTATAAGTGAACAAAATACAGTCTGATCGTTCAATTTTCGGACGTAAAACAAACTTTCTATATCGTTGAAAACTACTGTTGTCTTGTCATGTCTTGTCGACCTTAAGTTTCATTCTAGTTTGTATTGTACTTAATGCAAAGAATAGTAGCTTTTGCAAATCCAGCAAGCAGATATTTATGTATGACTATTACGACTTTAAATTACAATCGATAAGAAATACTAGAAATGCCGCTCAACGCTGTCAACACATATGATATTGATTTCAGTTGTTATTCATGTTGCGCACACTCTGCATGTGTATTATCAAAGTAATTATACGTTCTCTGTATCTTTCTCGCTCACTCTTTAAAACAAAACTTTTAAATTTAATTCCATAGCTCATCACATAGATGACAATTTCGTTGGTGGGGATAATTCGAATAAATAATTTGAACAGAAATTTAGTGTTAAATCAAGAGAAATCCATCTCAATGACATTAATAAAAATGCAACGTGATTGAGCAATTAAAATGTATCGAACTGTTGTGTAGGGCACTTGTTTGATTGGTGTATTTGTAATTCAATAAGCGACAAGTACGCGTTCAGTGAATTTACGACATATTTCAATTTTATCGTCAAACACAGAGGCCTCAGTATAGCTTATCTTCATTATTTTAATTGATTTGCTATCAATAATAAGGTACTGTCCGAATATTTGTATAAATGATCCGTTATGCATTGATTTTATAATAAAATTGTGTTCATGACCTTGGAGGGAACTATCATATTTTAATATAAACGTAAAAGAACTAACGATCGACGATAAAATTTTACGAAAAGAGTCCATGCAGTGTTCGAATGTGTACCAACATATGAGTTAAATTATACATGTATTAATGATAAGTGATAGTAACGATAAAATACGATGACGATTTAGTCACGAACTTTGATGACATTTCCGTTGAAATTTTGATGACATTTCCGTTATTGAGCGTTAAAAAGAAACGACATTTTCATTTCATTATTTTTTTTTCATTTGTTTTAGAAAAGAAGTCATAAATGTATCAAAAGTGTAACAATAATCTAAAACTTGTTATCTTTGCAAATCATTGAATATCATCACTGATGAATAATCTCAGTGAGATACACAAAATAAATAAAGAATTTTTGATGCTTCAATGCAGAATTTCGCTTTGTAGTGTTGACTTGTAAAAAATTATCATTTCTTATGCCGCAGTTTATTACTGATAAATTCGTATATTCACTCGCATTTCACTTGATTTTTATAACATCAATTTAAAATAATCCAAGCATGAAGTACAACAATTCAGATGGATTTCACATTTTATTTCTAGACGAAACTATTTTAAATTCACTAACTATCAACATGCAAATACCGCGAATTGATGCTGAAAAAAATGATGATGCAAAAAAAAATCCAACAAAACTCTCAAAACTTGATGTTTAGCTGACTTTTTTTTTCGCAAGTCATGATCATTATCATGATCATTATATACCTGTGAAGTGCCGTTTGAAATTGATTTCTAGGACAAGTTACGATAATCGTAGGTGTTTCACGTATACAAATTTTATGACGTACACAAATTTTCAATACAAAGACACGCTTGTTCATGCACATGTTCAAATATGATAAAATTCTTCACATTGGATATTCCTTTCTCTTTCGTTCCTATCCATTCGTTCGTTATTTTTATTTATTTTGTTTAATTTGATTCTGCGCCAGACTATATTCTAATTCAACACACACATCCATATGTGTAAATACAAAGATAAAATAAAATATCATTAGCAACACATCGAAATAAGTCGCTAGATATGTACTCAATGGGCTGCTCCATGAATGGGTTTTGGTTGTTAGTGTGTGCACTGCACAATACAAACAAAGAAATCATTATTCAAAACATAAACCAATTAAAAGTTTAATAAAAGAAGTCTACTATGTATGAATGGATCACAGTTTTAAGTTTGTCGGCAAACATGCCGCAACAGTAAATCAAAGAGACTTTGATGTATTTTTATTTGAAACATTTTTTTTTTCACTTTTTCAATCACATGTGAGATCTTAAAACGTTTTTATGTTAAGCTCAAGTACAATTGCCGATTTTTAATGTTAATTTTAAAAGAAATAACAAAGTGAGATTACCGTGAATATGTATAGTGAATGTTTTGAAAAATTGTGAAGACAGACGTTGTTGTAATATAACACTGACAATTCTAAAAATATAAATTAGAAATCCATTCGTCATTTAAGAAGGAAAAACACAAACAAAACGAAATTTAAACTCAAAACGTAAACAAGTGAAACGCAAGTACTCGTGAACGTACGACTAAAAAAGTGAATGAAATTAGTTTAAAAAGAGTATATAATTTAAAAAAAAAAAACAGTATGGAAACATCACGACGAAAACTGCCAACCAACCCACCGAATCCGCGTGAAAAGGCCAACTTTTTGTCGTTGATTTTTTTCACATGGACACTTCCATTGTTTCGAAAAGGATATCAAAAAGTTTTAAAATTTGATGACATCTTTCAGTCGCTGACGGTTGATAGATCCAAATCGTTGGGCGATCGCCTAGAAGTGTGAGTGACAAATTATAATTTTGATTATATAATGATTTAAAAGGTGTAATCATTGTTTTTCATCAACATTGAATGACTTGTCATTAGAACAATGACTGGTCGCTTTTTGCATTTGACTTTGAACAAAAAAACAATCCACGTTATCTAAGTTTATTAATTACACATTGCAAAATACAAACTCAACCAATGATCTATTTATGTATCTTTAATAAAGTATGATTAGATAACGAGGAACCTCTTTTGCTTAAAAAAGCTGAATCGGTTCAGTAGTATCATTAACAAAATCTGAAAAATAAATTATCGCTTTATTAATGAAGCTGATAGGAATTACAAATGAATGCTCCAGAACAAAAACTGCATAAATTTGGGTTATCAGATCAAAGCAAAACATGGAATCATTCACTGTTTTTATTCTAAAGCATTCAAAAGATATTTCCTCATTGTTTTCAGCAAGTGTCGTTTCAATTGACCCATGCGTTGTCTTTAATTTATCCCAATGATTGAAGTGTATGGACATTTATAGACATTTTATGGAATTGTTGGCAAAACATTTCATTGATTGCACCATTTAGATTCATTGAAACATATGATGATTGAATGAAATTGTTGACACGCTTTTAATTGAATGCATACAGAAATTGGAAGGTACAGCTTGAGAAATCGAAGCGACCGTCATTGATCAAAGCAATATTTGCCACACTTTGGAGGGAATATGCAGGTCTTGCTTTGATATGTGGATTTAACGACATAGTGGTACGCTTGGGTCAACCAATATTACTCGGAAAATTGCTGCTCTATTTTCGGTGAGAATGGCATTTCACAAAGTTTATCAATATTTATTTATAATATTCGTATTCTACAGTGAAAATAAAGAGATTAATTATGATGAAGCTGTTATTTATGCATGTGCAATCATTGGGTTTACGTTCATAAATTCACTGCTTGTAAATCAATTTTTCTTAATCGGGTTTCATAATGGCATGAAAGTTCGTGTGGCAGTCTGCAGTCTCATATACCGCAAAGTAAGTTTGTTTGTTTTTTTAGTGTATGGATGCGACGTGATTTAATCCTCGAATATTTTCATTTCAAAAGGCATTGAAACTTTCGCAAACCGCACTTGGAGAGACTGCGCCCGGCAAGGTTGTAAATTTATTATCGAATGATGTGAATCGTTTCGATATGGTTACTATGTTCATAAATTCCATGTGGACTGCGCCGTTACTGACAGTGATCGTAGGTGTTATGTTATATATTGAAATTGGTGTTCCCGGTATGATTGGCATCTTGATCGTGTTTATTGTCGTGCCCATTCAAAGTGAGTAATAATCTACATATAGATTACGGGCTATAAATCGCATATTAATTTCGATTTTTATTCAGGTTACACCGGTAAAATTTCGTCAAAATTCCGCTTGCAAACTGCTCTCCGAACGGACGAGCGTGTGCGATTCATGGACGAAATAATATCGGGCGTTCAAGTGATAAAAATGTACGCCTGGGAAAAGGTATGATTTAAATTCGTAGAAATTAGTAGAAAATATCCAATGAATAACGTTATTTTTCTTTTAAATTGAAAAAAGCCGTTCGCCAAACTTATCATGTACGCTCGTAAGATGGAATTGAAGATTGTTCGAAAGAGTTCATATGTTCGGGCATTATACATGACGTTCATGTTGTTCACAACAAGAATGGCCATATTTTGTACAATGTTGGCAATCGTTTTGATATACGGCTCAACAGAAATAACTGCCGCAAGAATATTCGTCATTTCTTCGTACTATGGGATCATTGCACAAACTATGTCACAAATGTTTGTCAGGGGTGTCGCAGAAATCGCTGAAGTACTCGTGGGTCTTCGGCGTTTACAAAACTTTTTGGAATTAGAAGAAAAGAAAACAAAGCGCATTGGCGATGAGAAAAATGGACAAAATGGTTTTGCCAATGAAAAAATTGAAGTAAGTGAAATCAATTAAATAGTACTATTCGATCGAAGTAAACTGATCATCCATGTATCCAATAATCCAATATAGGAAATGAAGCAAAGTGAACATACAACGCCACCAAATGTATCTGTATCAATTAAAAATGGTGTCGCACGTTGGACAATTCCGAAAAATCCGCTTCTGAAAGGAACTTCAAAACAGCATAAAGCCGAACAAGACGAATTTGATGCATTGAAAGTGCCGACGTTGAATGAAATAAATGTCGATTTTCCGAAGGGCAAATTAATCGGTATAATTGGATCAGTTGGTGCGGGAAAATCGTCATTTCTACAAGCTCTTTTACGAGAATTACCACTGGAATCAGGATCGTTGAGCATAAACGGTTCAATTTCTTATGCATCACAAGAACCGTGGATATTCGCGGCCAGCGTAAAACAAAATATTCTCTTTGGCGAAAATTATGATCGTGATCGATATGATTCTGTTGTTAAGACATGTGCACTCGTAAAAGATTTTGAGCAATTTGAGAGTGGAGACCAAATGATTGTCGGTGATCGAGGAGCCAGTCTTAGTGGTGGACAAAAGGCGCGATTGAAGTAAAACCGGCATTTCTTTGCTCAGAATTTCGACTGTAAATGATATTTCTTTTTAATTTCAGTTTGGCACGTGCTTGTTATCGAAAAGCCGATATTTATTTGATGGACGATCCATTGAGTGCTGTTGACGCTCATGTCGGTACGCATATTTTCAATAAATGCATTGGGCCCAAAGGTCGCTTAGCAAAACTGAACGCGACACGAATTTTAGTTACACATCAAGGTAAATTTCAACTTTTTTTATCTTTTGATTTAATTGTTCATTTTTTTTTATTTTAAATCGTGTCAGTGCATTTCCTCAAAGAAGCCGATTGGCTCGTCGTTTTGAATAATGTAAGTATTTTTATTTTATCGTTCTTCTGATCGTTCGCAACACAAAGTATAACTTCTATCCATGCCGAGAATAACGTAAAATTTGAAATTCATAGGGTCGAATCGAAGTACAGGGCTCGCCGGCTGATTTGTCACGAAGTGGTGTTGATTTCGCTAAGCTTGTGGGCACCGAAGAGAATGACGAAAATCCGGAAAAAATGGCACGTCAGCTATCGCGAAGATCATCAACTCGATCAGTGTCGTCAGCTTCAGTGAGCAGCGCAGATATGTCGGAGTTTGATGGTGACGATGGTAACGAGCAAGCAGCCAAAGGAGTCGAAATGGAAGCTAGTTCAAAAGGCAAAGTTAAGGGGTCTGTTGCAGTTAATTATTTTACTGCTGGCGCTCATTGGTCGATATTGTTTGTATTGGGCATTTCATTTTTAATCGTTCAATTGTTGGCAAGTGCCGCAGATTACTGGGTTTCAATATGGTGATTATTAAATTCGAACATTATGTTTAATTTCGTTGAAGTGAATATTAACCTAAATGTGTATTAAACAATGCAGGACTAGAGAAGAAGAAATGCGTAATCACCTGAAAGAAAACTCTACGTATGTGAGTTTCGTAAGCAGAGATTTGTTCAGTGATATCAGTGATATGTTCAGTGGCAGTTCAGACAAACCAAAAACATACAATTTGAGTACTGAAGTTTGTATTTATGTTCATGCAACTATTATGGCATGTCTATTTGTCATTGGTATTTGGAGGTAATTTTGATAAAAAAATCTCTTGAGGACGTTAAGCTCAATGTAGTTTTATTGAATTTAAGATCGGTTGGTTTCTACTCGATGTGTGTACGGGCTTCTCAAAATCTTCACAATAACATGTTCCGAGGACTAATTTCGGCCAAAATGCGATTCTTTGACACTAATCCTTCCGTGAGATAATCGCAATAATAATTGAATCTTACAATTAAAACTTATTTTCAAACTTTTCTTTTTTCAGGGGCGAATTTTGAATCGCTTCTCTAAAGACATCGGTGCTACTGATGAATTTCTGCCGAAGGCAATTCTTGATGCCACTCAAGTGATTCTAAGCATGTTTGGATCGGTTATTGTTGCCGCTTCAGTTAATCCCTTGTTTCTTATTCCGGTGCTGGTGTTAGCTTTCACCTTTATATTTATTCGGAAAATTTATTTGAAGACATCCAAAAATATTAAGCGATTAGAAGGAGCTGGTAATAATATTTTAAAAGTGATATGAATGTTTGCAGCTTTCTAACAGTCGTTTTGGTTTTTCAAATTCTAGCAAAGTCGCCTGTATTCACACATTTGGCTGCCACTCTTAACGGTCTGTCAACCGTTCGTGCCTACAATGCTGAGAAGATTCTTCAAACAGAATTCGACAATCATCAGGATAATCATAGCGCTTGTTGGTATTCCTTTATAGCAACGGGTGGAGCGTTCGGGCTATCGTTAGATATGGCATGTTTTATTTTCATCACGTTTATCATAACTTACTTTATATTTATTGCTGAGACTGCGACAGGCGACAAGGTTGGTCTCGCCATTACCCAAGCAATGTAAATATACATTTTATTTTGAACATTAATTTCCACAATGAATTGGTATACGACGCGTTGAATAACCTTTTTTCGCATTTTTTGTCAGGTCATTGACGGGGATGCTCCAGTGGGGTAATTTTAATTTTTTTGTTGCATTTTTTTCTCCTTATTCTTCGTTATTTACTTGAATTGTGTTCGGAACTAATGTAATGCAATACATGTTACTTCAGGAGTTCGTCAAAGTGCCGAAATTAGTAATCAAATGATGGCCGTTGAGCGTGTGTTGGAATATCGTGATTTGGAGCCGGAAAAAGAATCAGAAAAACCACGAGAAGTCGACAATGAATGGCCGCAAAAAGGTTGCGTTGAATTCCGCAATGTGGTCTATCGGTATTTTGCCGAAGCCGAACCAGTTTTACGAGGATTATCGTTTGTGATAAAACCAAAAGAAAAGATAGGTGAGTAAATGTATTTGGTTCATTGATGCAATTGAATTTATGTTTTTTTAAAAAAATAGGAATTGTTGGAAGAACTGGAGCTGGTAAGAGTTCATTGATTGGCGCCATTTTCCGTTTGGCGTGCGTTGAAGGAGAGGTTCTAATTGATGATATTGATACTGCAACACTTCGATTACATGATTTGCGTAAACGAATTGCTATCATTCCACAAGATCCTGTCCTCTTCAGTGGCACCTTAAGACGGTAAGATTGAATTAAATCCCATGCAAAATGTCTATAATAATAATCAATGTTGTGTTATGTAAATGAAATGGCAGAAATTTAGATCCATTCGAAGAGTATCCCGACGACGAAGTTTGGAGCGCCTTGGAAAAAGTAGAATTAAAAGATGTTGCTTCGGGTCCTTCGGGATTGCATTCGGCAGTTATGGCACATGGTTCAAATTTCTCCGTTGGCCAACGTCAACTTTTGTGTTTGGCTCGAGCTATTTTACGAAAGAATCGAATCATAATTCTTGATGAAGCAACAGCCAACGTTGATCCACAGTATGTACAATCAAATAGTAATTTCAATTCTTTTCAATATCTATCAACTATTGACATCTGTTTTCTTTTTTAACAAAATAGAACTGATTTATTGATCCAACAAACGATTCGTGAGAAGTTCGCCGAATGTACCGTTTTAACTGTGGCACATCGATTGCATACGATCATTGATTCAGATCGCGTATTAGTTATGGACACCGGTCGGGCAGCTGAATTCGATGAGCCACACAATTTACTGCAGGATAATATGGGCATCTTTTATGGTATGGTCAAAGCTCTGGGCCCTCAGGAATTCAATCGTTTGACAAAAACAGCACAAGAGAAATTCAACTCACTTCAGACACCCGATATCGAGGAAAGTCGCCTGTGAAAATGGACGAATGAATAACGAAAAATGACGAAATCCCGATAAGTATTAGCACAAATATGGTGTTCCTGAATAAATATTCATTGGTCTAATCGAAGAATTCATTCCATTATTTCGATGCGTATTATAATTTATTTTAGACACTTTTTTATACTTAATACCATGTACTTATACCATATACTTATTTTTATTATGTAGAATTTATACCCAGTAAAAAATACTTGAAAAAATTCAAGAATGGCTATTTTTCATCCAAACCCTTATCAAATCTCTATATTATAGATTATTTGTGATTAAAACACACTTGAACCTTAAATTGTTTCGAACCTGTATTCGACGATTTAAATGAAAAAAATGTTGCGAAAAATGTAGTCGAATTCGTAAAGTGAACAAGTTCAGATTCTTGAGTGCGGAATTTTTTTAAAAAGTGAAATTGATATTAAAATTGTTTCGAAAAAAAAAAAACGATTCAAAATGGATAGCGACGATATTATAGATTTTAAAGGCGAAACCTTTATGGAAATATTATTAGTTAATTATCGATGGATTCTTGTGTGCTTTGTGGTCTTACCGATGTCATTTTTATACGATTTGTGGTTTTACACGCGCAATAAGTTCATTTTCTATTTTCTGGGAACTACAAGTGAGTCATTGTTTCTTCGATTTATTTTTATAATCGAAAATTGCCTTGATTTTCCCCTTGATTCATAGGACATAGTTCCATTTGGAAACCATCCAATTTTCCGTTATTTGCGTAGCGGTGCAGTGGAGGGCGCGTAATGGAACTACCAGTGACCGGTTCGCGCATATTTCTATGCCTGATAGCTATGCTAAGCATAGCGGAGACGTAAGCCGCAACGCACCCGTCGCCATTCGATTCGAGCTATATTGTATGCGCACGGTCGTCTGCATAAACGAACATGTGTATTGTTCATATAGAGTGAACGGCGATGCGTCGGTTGCGTTTGCGGCTATGCTTGGCATATCTATGCTACCTAGCGTATTTAGGCAAGCATAGAAATATGCGCGAACCGGTCACTGGGAACTACGTGCCCATCACATTTACAGTACTTTTGGCAACACTGTTCGTAGTGTTTTGACATTTCATGAAATGTGACATTAATGTTCGTTCATTTGAACCGTGTTTGAGTTTTTGAAATAAAGTGATGAAATTCTAATTTATTATTGTGAGTTTTTATATGTATTTTATTATTATGATAAAATAACAGTGACAAAAATGTGTGAAAACATATATAAGTATTGAAAATTTCAAAAAAATTAGTTTAAATTTCTTGAATTGAATTGGTAAAATTTCTTATTATTTACAAGGTGCGTTGTTCTTTAAGGAGTCAGTCAAAAATATATTTTTTTTTTACTACATGTGTTTGTTATGAGTATCTCTGAGCGGTGCAATGTAAGTGTGTAAATGTGTTACGGCTGGAACAAAAATGTGCTAGCGGTGGCACAAGTGTATTTACTCGACCGCAATCGACAGAACGGATAACTAACTTTCAATAATTCTGAGGAAAATTCAATAATATATTTTAAAAATATTGAACTTAATGACGCTTAATGAAATAATAAAAGAGAAATATATTTTTGACTGACTCCTTAAAGAACAACGCACCTTGTAAATAATAAGAAATTTTACCAATTCAATTCAAGAAATTTACACTTGTTTTTTTGAAATTTTCAACACTTACATATGTTTTCACACATTTTTTTCACTGTTATTTTATCATAATAATAAAATACATATAAAAACTCACAATAATAAATTAGAATTTCAAAAACTCAAACACGGTTCATATCAACAAACATTAATGTCACATTTCATGAAATGTCAAAACACTAATAACAGTGTTGCCAAAAGTAATGTAAATGTGATGGCGCCACCAGTACTAAAATACTACACTGCGCTAGGACGGTTATTTGTTTGGGTGGTTGATGCCAGTTAAGGTGTCGTTTTTGAAATTGACGCAAACTAAAGCGGTTAAAAAAATGTACGAACAAACTCAAGTGCTTCAAGATATATTGGTGCCAACATCAAAAATGGCTGACACAATTCGTGAATTCGATAAGTTGATAAAAGTTTATCCGTTGTGGTTGTGTCCGTTCCGTTTATGGGATGATAATGGTTTGATTCATCCAGCGCCTGGTTTGGATGTTGACATGTATGTTGATATTGGCATTTATGGTACAGTCAAGGTAAAACGTAGCCAATTCCATGCGGAACGCACGACGCGTCAATTGGAGCATATTGGTCGCAAAACAAACGGCTTTCAAATGCTCCATGCTGATTGCTATCAAACCTATGATGAATTCCGGCAAATGTTTGATCATCGTCTCTACGATCGAATGCGAAAAGAGCTAAAATGCGAAGATGCATTTCCTGAAGTTTATGAGAAGGTTAACAAAAGTGTTCGCGATTAAAGTACTATTTTGAAGACATTCAAGTGTTTTTTTTTTGTAAAAAATGAATTATCAATCTTGTAAACTTAAACGATTCAACGAAAGCAATTTTTAATCTGAAGTACGTGATGATAAAAATTAAACAAGCTTCCATGTCTTTATCTTTATCTGGACGAGATTACATATATGAAAACAATAAAAAATACATTTCTGCAATTCAGAATTTGAACTTCAGAACATTTAAAACTTACAAAGTGAATAAAAGAAATCGTTCGATAAGAGAAACAAATTGCGTTTTTATTGTTATATACGAAATCCATTTGAAGTCGAATAGACAAGTCATTGTTGAAAATGAAGAAAATGAATCCACTTCACTTCAATCGGAAGTGATGAACTATTTTAGAGCAAATAAAACTTTAATATTTTTTTTTTTTGCAAAGGTAGTTTGATTGAATTTTTCTTTGAAAAATCCATCATCAAATGCCTTGCATGCAGTGCATGAAAAAATCATGTATGTAGTGCTTGCTGTCGGTTATTGTTTTTGGATCAACACATTTTAATTCAAGAATTCATGACACGCATAACATTCCATATAGTATAACAAAATTTATTACAAAATCGTGTCCGTTATTTACCCATGTCATATAAAAATTTCATAGAAACTTTAGCATTTTACGGACTATAATCGTTAATTTTTTGAAACAGATTATCTTTTGGGAGTTTCCATTTATGAAAACAATACCTACATAACATATAGTATAAATAGATAGATTTCTGCTATTTTTAAATAATAATTTACGGCTAGCTGCAGCTAGTGCACTGAAAGAAAACAACAAAAATGTTCAAGATATTTCTAAAATTTTGCATTTGCATTTCGATTGGTTGTCATTCGGTTTTCGTACCCGAATTCGAAAGATTTGATTTACAAGATGTCATTAAAAGTGTTTTCGAAGTAAATTACAATAATCTTAAACAGAAATATCTAACAGAAATCAAGAACCTAAAAGGAGCCAAATTTTCTCAAAACTCCGAAAAGGATTGTAATGTTACGGAAAAAATTCAGGTAAGTTTGATAAAGAATCGTAGTTTGTCTCTCAATAAAAAACAAATATGTTCTCGTAGCTTCTGAATAGGGCGTTTACGCGGAAAGCAGAAGATATAAAAGATCTGCATAAGCAAGTAATAAAAATGTTCGATCGACGCTACCACACGAAAAGTATCGATTCTATCGTTGAGTATTTTGAAGAAGCTTTTTCTGATTTCTGCAACTTCATAAAAGGTATTGGAACAATTATGTATTTATATGAAACTACCATATTGAATTTTCCAATCATAATTTAAAAGGTGCCGATTGGACTGCAATTTTTCATCCGTTGAATAATTCTTCACATCGCACACATGAGAAAGGTTTTGGTGTAATACCTGCAGGCTTGAATTCAACTTCTTCGTCGCCAGCAAATACATACAACGATACCGAAAGTATAAATTACATTAATTGAGTAAAGTCATGCGTGTTTTTCATAAAATGTTTTTTTACTTGAAAACTGATGTTGCATATAAATATCTTTTATTTAAAATAAAACATGAATCGGACTTGACACAATTATATAGGAAAATGTTGTTCATAAATATATTGAATTTGATTTAGCCGAATATATTCATGGGGCACAAAAATTTAGGAGACATATGAAAGTGCAACACACTGAGCATTTAGTTGATGATTTAGGTGAGCTAACAATAGCTCAAATTGCCAATATAATCGAGAGGAGAATAATTAATTTAGTTTATTTAATTTATTTACTGAAAATACACAAAAGGTTCAGAGTGTATTTATAAGCTCAACACACAAACAAAAACCTTGCCAAAGTACATTTCTTATATGCAAACAAGCAGAGCGTTTGAAAATTCAATTGCTGCGAAGATCGATTAATTTTAATGTTTATCACGAAATTTTGAACGGTTTAAATGCTGAAGATCTTTATAACCAAACTGATTTTTCAAGTCATAGTGTGATCACAAAATATATCCAATCCGGTTTGTGGTTGAAGAATAGATCAAGATAGAAGGAACATACATTGAAAAGATGGCAACGTTCAAATGTCATAGTAAACAAATGAGGTCAACACTCAACATATGACAAATTATTACATTTTTATGGACAATGAATTACCCTTTTTTCCTTTTTCTGCTTTGTAATATTATTTCACTATGTTCAAAATGTTCAATGAGTTATTGAATTCAATTGAGGAATAAATTTAAACCAAATTTTAAAAATATCTGCTTTATATTCATTTATCTAAACATAAAATCACTGTATTGAAACAATTCAAATAAATCAAAATATTCTTTATTAAGATTGACTGAAGTTAAGTTTGACTGAATTTATTGAAAATCAAAAGATGATTATCAATTTATACAAGATAAATTCTTCACTTTTTTGGCGAAAGTCCCTAACAAATTGAAAGAATTTTTCTGCATGAAAATCTCTAGCAAATCCAAAGAATTTTTCTTGAATTGAAAACTGAACAGGTCTTCATTTTTTTAATCAAAAACCCTAGGAAAATGAGTAAATGACAACACACGTTTCTTTACGTTCTTGTATTTCTTTATTGTGCTTGGAAAAGAGTAAACATTCTCATTAAAAACCAAGATCTTTTCATTCAATTTTTTTTTTTTCATCTTTAAAAATGAAGGCCTTGGTAGATACTTCTTGTTCTCTGATGGTACCACAAGGTTCCGCCGTCCTTTCAGATCATCTGTTCTGTAATGCCGTTTTTTGCTGCTGCAGGAAACTTTTCCAAATCATCATTACCATTTATATGGAAAATCAATCATATCGATAATTCAATGACCAATTTCGGCGAAATTTTGTACTACACCCAAAGAGCAAGCGGGAAATTGAGATTGGACCTTAATTCACCGTATTCAGCCATATTTCAGCCCATTATTACGCTCCATCATAAATCTGTGGAGGCAAACTTTATTTTTGAGCTGATTTATATGGAAAATCAATCATTATCTGAACATATACGTTTTATGTCTGGCTAGACCGTAAAATCGACTAAATTTAGTTGCATCATTTACGTAGTTTCGTAATTTCCAGAATCGCATCGTGGCGTAAAAATTGACCCGAAAAGTTTTCATGTTTTTCCAAAACAGACCAGAAACTAAAACTCTGGAAAACCCATTTAAATCTTAAGCAACATTTATTCAAAAAAATTTGAATATAAATGGCAAACAATGCGCAGTCCATTAAAGTGACAATACATAGCATAACACAAGCGTAACAACAAGTCAAAACGTAACAAAATACCAATAAATTCATTTGTCAAACGTCTTGGACTGTATTGAACAGTAAAATATAAAATTAAGCATGAACAATGAACAAAAGAATATAAATCTATTTGTGCCACTTAATCTAGTTCAAATGAAGCAAATATTCATGCAAATGTAAATTTGAGCGAATTTAATAATCCAAAAACAATTGCAAGAACTGGAAAACATGAATTGATTTATAAAAATCTGGGATTACGCATTTTTATCCCATTTAGAAATGCATCTCTCCATAGCTTATTTTGAATTATTTCATTAAATTACAACAAAATTCGGACAAATCATTTCATTGTTTTTACATTGGACTTCAAAATTCAATAGGTGTTTCTCAAGACATGGAATTTCCGATTTCAAATGACTTTTATGAGCGGAAATAATTTTCAACGCACAATAATTTCATTATGATGTGGATTGCGTACTACTCAAAATGATCATAAATTATGCAAGATAGAACAAAAGACCATTACTGTCAGGCTTGGCCTCTTGTTTGAATATAAAAGAAAGCAGAACGTTTCAAGTCAAGAACAGAATCGTTCAAATAATTGACTGTGAAAAGTGAGAAAGTTTCTTTTACATTCGACGAAAAAAAGTTTAAAATGTGTAAGCGCTTATTAATTCACGGTGCACGATTGATTTTCGTTCTTCTGTTGATAAATGCAATTCGAATCCACTGCTTCGGAGAAAGTGTGAATAGTGAGTGAATTCAATATTTAATATTTTTGTTACCTATAAATACGGATAAAGATGATGTGATTTTCTCTTTTAAAGATTTGAACTTAGTTTATGGCCGTGGGAAAGATGAACAGAGTACACATAAGATAACCTTTTTAAATGAGTCTCTTCAGTTTCCTTCTACTATAAATGACGAAGTCTTTGGTAAAATCCGCAACATTCTTTGCAAATATGAAGATGAAGCAAAACTTTTGGGGAAACAAGCTTACGACTGCCGGAGAAAAGAAGATAATAGAAACTGTCATTCTATTTTGGTTCATTTCGAAGTAATGTCATCGAAATATTTAAGAAGGCAATAATTCGAATTTTATTTTGTTTTCTTTTCTACGCAGACTGCTAAAACAAAACTACGCAAGGAACTGAACAACGTTAAACGATGGGCTGAAAATACTGGAAAAACACAAGAAACTCCAGCACCCAATTCATTGCAGTCGAAATTTTTCTTTGGCAATGGCTTTATGCTCGAACGGATTTTTAATGTGTTCAGAGACTATTCCTTGTACATAAATTTCGCTTTCAAATGTGAGTCAAGCGATTAAATATCCCAATATGAATACTTTGAAACGTATTCATTTTTCATGTAAAATGCTACTGAAATAGACACTATTTAGTGAGACAATAAGGTCATGCATGTATTAAAATATTTCAATACGCTTTTGATAGCAGAGCGTATACATATGCCTTTGAGTATACTACTAACTATATGCTTTTTGGATATTATCTAACTGTATATGTTTTTTTAACATATGTAATTATGTATTCCATTCCCAGTGAACAGAAGAGTAAAGACAACACCACAGGTTAGCATCCCAACAACTATAAACCCATCAACCATACCACAACCAACTCCGTCAAATATCACTATGACAACAACTAACAAAACCATGGGATAAAAACCATTTGAGAGACAGACACCAATTTCTAGCAGTGTTAATATATTCTTTACGGCAGACATCCATATAAAAATGTATGCCAATACTTTTCGTATGGAAGAATCCATTTGAACATTTTTTCAGAAAATATTCTTCTACTATCAGTTCCTTCTGGTATGCTTTCATATAGTTAAAATGCGTATCTGCCTAGACCACCCCATTTATTTTTTTTTTAAATAAATATCAGCACTATTGAAAATTTAAAATAATTGTAAACGATGCAACTAAGGAAACTTTTTGCATCATCTTTGAAAATGTTCAATTCTACTCTACACCTTCGAATAAAACTTAAAATATATTTGAGTCACGAAGAAATAATTGTATTATTGCGCGAATATCTACAAATACTAAAAAAACAATAGACAAATCAACATGTTAAACATGCAATAAATTGTGAACTGATTTGTTGAAGAAAAAAAAAACACCAAAGTCTGATTTTTTGAAAAATAATCTAATATTTTTATTAGTGGACTAAATATCCATTCTTTCAGCATACGTAATACTGTTATGCCACAAATGAATTGTTATAAAAAACAGCAAAAGCATATAACATATTAACCCACTTTGTCAAAATAGCAATCGTAAGTTATTGCACTCACATTAAAAACGACAAAACAAATATTCTTTTCTTCGAAAATCGACTATTCAATATTTATTGCAGTTCATTGAATTGCAACAAAATGTGGTCGAATTCGGTTTATTATATTGTTTTTGAAAATGTTTTATAAGTGAGTGAGCGTCGCTTACAAAGTGGAAATTCCAAACTTAGTGAGTTCAACTTGGCGCACGAAATCCATAAAAATACTTAAATTAACAAAATGCCTATACATTACAATAATTCAGAACAATACGCAAAAGCCTGATAAATAAACGAATGTGGGTCATTTTATTGAGTATAAAAGAAAGCAACATTTCAATAGGAAGCACAGAATCGTTCATATCATTGACTGTGACAAGTTAGTTCTTGAACCATTTGAAATCGAAGAAAAAACCATTTGAAATCGCAAAATGTGTAACGTCTTACTGAGCGGACCACAATTGATTTTTGTTCTCCTGTTAACCTATTCAATCCGGATTCATTGTTTGGGAGAGCGTGCAAGCGGTAAGATACATTTTTGAACTAAATTCCATATGCTTCGTCTGTACTGTTGAGATGTTTGTTTTTTTTTCAAATTGTTAATTCTGGAAATAAAGGCAAGGATGACCAGGATACCAATAAGATAACGTTTTTAAATGAGCCACTTCAATTCCCGTCCACTGTGAATGCTGAAATGTTGAATAAAATTCGAAAAATTCTAAGCAAGTATGAAGATGAAGCTGAACTTCTGGGAAAACAAGCGAATGATTGCCGAAACAAAAATAACAATTTAAATTGTCAATCCATTTCTGAACAATTAGAAGTAAGTAAAGTAACCAATATTTTTGTAAATGCGTTGGCTTTAATTTTCGTTTTGCTCTTGTCCATAGATTATCAAAGAAAATCTACGCAAGGAATTGAATAATTTAAAAAGCTTGACTTCAGTAACGCTACCGATTGAAGCCGAACAGCCGAAGAATTTTATTGGCAACGGCATAATGTTTGATCGCATTTTTAATGTGTTCAGAGACTATGTTTTGTACATAAATTTCGTTTTGAATTGTTAGTTATGAAATTGATTATCGAAAAGTGAACAACACATTTTAAATATGAATTCCGTTTCTAGTGAACACATCATCAGCAGCAACAAGCGGTGATGATTCAGCTGCATCTACACCCACAGCTCCGGTATCGCCGAGTACCGAAGATTAATGAAAAAATAAGGTTTTTTTCATTGCATATTCTAAAGATGTTTGTACTACTTGTTAACGCATCGGAATCTCTCTTCAACAAGCACGCCTGGATATATCAAATTAAAAAATTAAAATCAATATAATCTAGAATTAGTTTGTATTTTTTCATTCAATTTTCATGTTTTATATCTGTACTTAGTTTAATGCAAAATTATATGCTATTTAGGTCTCTGCAAGAATCAGTAAATATATTCAAATGTTTGCAATTAACTGCGCTTTGAAACAATTGAGTAAATGAATCAACTACAGAAAAACCCATGAATACCGGAATCGCAGGAGCCACTTTATTTATTTTGCCTTTTACTTTGCGTCTTTGACCTTTTCCTCGTTTTCAGACTGAACCGATCAATCATACTTTCTGTTTATAACGCGCAGCATCTGTGAATTTACTTTAATAAGTTCGACATAATGTTCACATTTCGAACAGATTCGAATACAAACACAGCGATAACAAACACAGCTTCTGGGTTCAAATTTTTGGTTTTGTCTTAATTGACAAACATTAAAAATTCGATATTGAGTCATACAGATATAAGTACTAGATGTATGAAAAACATGTATTATGTGGTCCGACTTTTTACTGACATCAGTCACTCAAATTGATGAGATACATCACAAATTTAACACAAATCGCCGGCAAAAGGAATTCTGTATTTTGAAATCACTTCACTCGTGTTCATTGATACATTTTATAGTTTTTTTTTGTTTGCTGTATTTTTGCTGGGGCATTTTAAGTGATTTTCTTAATTAGGGATTCGCACCTCGATACTGACATCCTATGTTCAAATGTATACTATTATTACTGCAAATAATAGTTTTGTTCGGACTTTCCTCGATTCTGTTCAGCTAAAGTGTGTGTATAAAAACATCTGATTCACAAACGAGAGACTTATGTCGTGTATATGATGATAATATGACATGTACAAAATTATATGAAGGCCCTAGTTGACATCATTTTCCTTGTCATTCTCATTCCGCTTCTCACTCAGAATGCAAGCAAAAAGAGAATTCTGCCATTAATTTTAGTCATCGATAATTTAATTAAAGTTAATCTTCCAAAAAATTTGTGATATTTACTTCACCAAAATTACATTCTATTTAAAGTTACCAGTTTTTTTTTCGGCCAACTGAAAATGTTCAAAAAGTAAAACTTGATCAAAGTAAATTGAAAGTGCACATTTTTTTCTAAACTCCAGCTAATTAAACATTTTAAATGGTATGTTTGAAGGAGTACATTTCACACATGAAGTGGACACTTAGATGTTGAGAGAACTTTAATGTTTCAGTCGTGTTGCTGATGATGGACGGCGAGACCGTTCCGGAATGCAGTCTTGTAATTTATGTTTTGTTTATTAACTTAAATAAAATTATAAATTTGAATTTGTGAACTCAAATTAATGGTGCAGTTTTTCTTTTATTGAATAAAATTTATGTTTTTGTTAGTTCAGTGTACACTAAATGTTTTTTTGCAAACTGAGTTTATTTAAAATGAATTCTAATCAGAGGGACAATGCAAATTGCTTACCAAAAGTATTCATGGATTGGACTTTTACTTTTTTTGAAAAGTTTTA